TCCGGGACTCCCCCATCCCATCCCCGCTCTCCCCAGCCTACAAGTGGCTTTCCCCATCCGTGCCTCAGTTTCCCCAAGAGAGAACCTGCCCCGGGCCAAGGGTTTGCCGCATTCGCCAGCACAGCGCTCCGAGGCTGTTGGCCCGGGAGCTGCATGACAAGCACCGTCGTGCTGGCTACAACACCCGCCCTCTGCAACACCCGTCAGCACTCACTCCTGCACCCGGATTTTGGGGGGTGAGGCCGGGCAGGCTGGCGGGGCGACGTCTCCCCACAGCTCCACCGCCATCTGCCGGCAAATCACCCTAGAATGGGCCGGTACCGAGAAGCCACGGCCGGGCCAGATCCTGCCCGCCGCCGTGCCCCGAGCCCAGGTCCCCTGCTCCTGCCTGCCCTGCCCACGGGGATTTTCCTTGAGCCACCATGGGGATGGGACCATGCGCGTGGGAGGTCGGCGGAAGAGGAGCATTTTCCAGTGCTGGAAACTGAGAGGAAAAAGGTTGCAGGACGGAACGATTAACGCAGCGCGGGTTAATCATTACAGCAGCGCTCCCCCCAGAGAAGGAAGTTGCGAGGATACGGCCTTCGAGCCGCCCAAGGGCAACATGGCCCAAGGACATGGCCGGGCTCGTGCTGGCAGCACGCAGAGCCTCTGCTGACCTTCTCACGCCGGGACCGGGGCCACAGGCAGCAGCCCATGGCCACGGGGGCCGGGGAGGGGTCCTGGCTGGAGCCAGCTCTGCACCCGGCTGCCGCAAAGCCTTGGCTGGGACAGGCAGGGTGCTGCCCGGTGCCGAGGCTCCCCAAGCTCCATACCTAGCCCCCTTCCCCCGGGGGGCTGTGAGCAGGGCTGCCTTCCACCTCCCGCAGCCCCCTGGGCAGCGGGTGCCCCTGGCAGGGACGAGAGTGGGGAGCAGCCCCTGCAGCCCCTGCCCCGATGTCGCAACGTGGGCACCGAGGACGCAGGGCGATAGCAGGGCGGCTGCGAGAGGCCAGGCAGGATCCCAAGCACCGAGGGTTTGGGCAGGGAAAGGGGCGGCTCTGCCAGATGAGTCAGTCCAGCCGGGGGAATCCTGGGGCTGCGGTGGGGTTTGGGGTTTTTTTTCCTGCAGAGAGATGAGAGCTCGAACCTTTCCCCTGCATTCGGGATCTGGGTGGGACGGTGGAAATGCCATGTGGCCAAGCACGGGGAGGGGACGCCAGCGCCTGGAGATTTGGGCCGGCAGAGCCCTGCCCATCTCGGAAATCATCCCCCAAGAGAAGAGACACTGCCGGCGACGCCGGCAGAAACGGTGATGCTTCACTTTCCGAGCGCTCCCGGCCCGGCTCCCCACCCTCCATCTGGCATCAGAAGATGCAAGTCATGGGCGAAAGCCCTCGGTGGAAAGGAAAGAGGAGGGCGACGGGCCGGCCCCCCGCCCCGCTCACGCCATTTTCCAGGCAGCCCTTCCCTCCTGCGCATTAACGTTTCCCTCTCATGCCCACCCCGCCCCGCAGCGCTCGAAAGCCGGAGACAAACAGATCCCAGGCTCCCCGTAGTAACTCCACCGCGCTGCGCCACTGATCCCCTCCGGATGCTCCTGGCCGCCACAGCCCGTGTCCCCCTGCCCAGAGCGGGGACCGAAGCGCAGGAGCAAGGTGCTGCCCCAGCACCCACCGCCCCAAAAAGCAGCAGGGAAAGACCTCTCGCCCCAGCTGTGGATGGAGGCTGCGGTCCCCAGGGGCATGTGCCAGCGCTCCAGGGACAGTGCTGGTGCCGCCGCCAGCCGGGATGGCCCCGCCGCCTCCCTGAGCCAGGCTGGTTTGGGGAGGAGAGGAGGGAGGATTCACCCACTGAATCACATCAGCGGTACAAGCACGATCCACACCGGGGCTCGATCCCCACCTGCCCCCGGCCGGGTCCATCCCCGCAGCACCAACGCCGAGCCGGGAGCGGGGAAGGGCTTCTTCGCCTTCGGTTCAGCCGCAGCCGCACGTCTCCCGCGCCAAGCAGAGAGTCAGAGACCATTTTCGTGGCATCCAGCGGGACGTGACTGATTGCGGCTCCCGGCGTGGGCAGAGGGAGCCGAGAGCTCAGCGCAGCGAGCCGGGGGAGGAGGATAACGCTGCTCTCGACAGAACCAGATAATTAGCAGTGATGGGAAAGGACAGAGGCAGGTGAGGGGCTCAGAGCCGAGGCCACAGCGGCGGGACCCTGCGGGGACCGGGCTGGGCTGCAAGGGGCAGCAGGGAGAGCCCAGGGATGCCCCCACACATTGC